TTTGAAACTGTCTCATTGCTATTTGTTTCTCAATAAAATTATGGGAAAAAAATATAAAAATGAAAAATAAGTAAATAAAAAGTCCTTTTCCCCTTGTAGGCTAATATTTCTCTTTTAACATTTGGATCTTTGGTTCACTTTTATTTTGGTTTAGTTTGTGGTGAGAATTATGGGTCCATATTTGATCCTCTACATATGAACAGCCAGCTTTCCCAATGCCGCTTGTGAAAGAGGCCACCTTTCCTCCAGTGTATGTTTTTGGCCCTTTTGTCAAAGATCAAATAGTCGCATGTACATGGCCTTGCTTCTGCTCCTCCTGTTCTGTTCCATTGATCACCGTCATTGTTGCTATGCTGCATTGATTGATTGATTGATTGATTGATTGATTGATTATTTATTTCTGTGATACTAAGGACCAAATTCAGGGCCTTGCGCTTGCCAGGCAGGCGCTTAAGCCACTGAGCTATCTCCCCGGCCCTCTGTGCTGTTTTTATCATTGTCGGTTGGTAATGCAACTTCCAGTCAAGGGTTATGATGCTTGCTGGTTTGCTCGTGTTCCTCAGGGTTGTTTTTGTCAGTCTCGGTCCTTTTTGATTTCACATGAATGTTAAGACTATTTTCTCTAGTTCTGTTGCATTGTGATTGAGACTGCGTTAAATCTGCACACTGATTTTAGAAGTACAGTCATTTAAAAATGTACAAAGGACTCCTAAATCTCAAGAATAAAGAAATGAGGCCGAGTGTGGTGGTACATCCCTGTAATCCCAGCACTGGTGAAGCTGAGGCAGGAGAACTGCTGTGAGTTAAAGGCCAGCCTGAACTCTACAGCAAAGACCAAAAAAGGGGGCTGGGGCTTTAGCTCAGCAGCAGAACGTTTGCCTAGTAAGTATCTGGTCCTTGGCAAAGAAAAAACAAAACTCCAGAGAGGCTCATAAACATGGGGGACGGGAGGAAAAACACTCAGACTAATAGTCCATGTCCTCCCTCACAAACGGAATCTTAAAAGAATGAGAAAAATAGATTAGAGGCCATTATTAGGAAAGAAGAAGGGTGGGAGGGAAGCAGGGTAGGAACAGGGCAGATGGACAGCAGCAGCAAAAGATACCATAAACAGTGAGCCCTCCAAGTGTGATGCTGGGGGAGAGAGGCAGGGCATGGGGAGATGGGGAGGAAATGGGCAAGTATGTTTTGTGCACATGTATGACTCCATTCATAACCAATGAAAAAACAAAAAAAAATATTTGGAACACACAAAGAAACCATGCAAAGGACATGATACAAATCAAAGAAACTTATAAAAAGATGCTCCACGCCACGTGTCACTCAAGAAACGTAAACGAGCTACCACTGCATAGCTCTTAGAGTGGTCCAAATCCCAGATGTTCATCCAATCAAGTTCTGATGAGGATTTGAAGGCACAGCAGCATATGTTCCCTGCTGGGGGACTGTGGATCAGCACAGGCACTTTGGAAGACAGCCTGGTAGTCTCTTATAAAACTACACCTACGAGAAGAGGACATGCAACTGTAGAGTTTGGCATTTACTCAAATTAATTATAAACATACCCACATAAAAACCTCCACAAACGCTTATGGCTGTTTTGTTCAACATTGCAAAACTTGGAGACAACAAAAATGTCCTTTGGTGGGCAAATAAACTCTGGCACATCCTGACAAGAGAATAGTATTGGGCACTAAGAACAGGACACTATCAAGCCGTAAATCATATGGTGGGAATGTAAATGCATATTCCTAAGTGAAAGATGCCAACGCGAAGAGGTGGTCTACTGTCTCATTTCAACTGTGTGACATTGCGGGAAAGGCAGAACTATGGGGACAGCATTGCCAGATGATACAGGAAGGTTGGGGGAAGTAGGAAAATGGAATATTGAGGACAGTGGAATTAAATGTGATACCGTAATGGAGAATTTATAATATCACCTTTATTAAAACACAGAGGTATGCAACACAGGAGCTAAACTGAATGTAAACCATGGACTTTAGTTACTCAGAATGGATCAATATTGATTCATAAATTACAGCAATGCAATGCAAAATGCTAACTGGGTACACAAGGGCCCGGGCAGGGAGCACACAGGCAAGCCTCACGCCAGTGAACTCTATCCCCAGCTGGGGGGAGGGCATAAAGAAATGACTCTCTGTTCAATTGTTTGGTAAATCTACAATCGCTCAGAATAAAGTTTACTCATTGACTACATCTGTAAGCTCAAAAATATTCTTACCCTTCCACCCAGGGATTCTATTCCCAAAATTCTCTTGAGACACAGGAGATATGAGGGCAGGAAAGCTTTATAAGGAAGGAAAGTTAGTAATCTACAGTCATCACTAACAATCTTAAAGATGAAATTACGAAATAGTGGTTAAGAAGGTTACAGAATCCTGTGGGCTCCACTGCTGGGAAAACCCAGGTGGGAAGAAATTGGACAGCACCTTAAAACAGCTATGTAAAAAGCCATACAAGGATACAAAGGAGTTTTAGCACCTTGACAATGACAACTATTGTGTAACCAAGGGTGATAAGATTGCGGATTATTCTTTTTGCAATTCTTACAGTACTTTGATATAAGCGCCCCAGCATATTTGTATGTGTAAAGTCTGTGACAGTTACAGGGAAAGGAAAGAAGACATGGTCCAGTAGCTAACCCCACCACACACCTCTATCCTGCATCTTCTTGGGCTCCTCCTGTCCCATGGAAGCCACTGTTCCTCCTCCTCCTCTTCCTTCTCCTCCTCCTCCTCCTCTAAACTCCTGCACACCTAGGTGACTTAGCACTTCAAAGCTGAGAAATTACCCTTACAGCTTATTCTGAAGATACTTACGGGAATGCTGCAGCACTAGAGGTGCCGGAGGGGTCTGAGGGTCAGCAGGAAATGGAAATTCTGAAAGAAAAGCCTACAAGTCTGCTTGCTCACTCACTTCCCAGCCCAGCCAGTATTTAGACTCCTTTCAGTCTGCCAGCACCAGGCATGCACTTAGGATAAAATGACATCTCTGGCCTCAATGCAGGTCTTTGTGATGCTGGAGATTGAACCCAGGGTGCCTTTTCCACGGAGAAACATCCTTAGCCAGCATTTGGCTGACTGAAACACAACAGCCCTCAGGTGCCTGGGCTGGCCTGCAGCGTGTGACCCTCCCGCTTCACCCAGTGGCTAGGATAACAGGTGTGTGCCTCTGAGTTTGGCAGGCATCTCTGGCCTTTAACAACTCCCCAGCTTTCTGATGGTGGAGGGAGGCCCTAAGCACAGAAGCTGCAGCTGAAGGCAGAACCAGCACTCTGCCAGCATGGAGTATGGGCTGGGTTTACCTTGAGTCTCCTCTGTGACACAGCTCCTGGAGGACCATGACAGATTAGGTCAGGAGTTGATCCGAGATTCTCCACCATCTTGCCCTGGTGGCATCAGGCATTTCAGAGCAAAGGTCTGTGAGTCATAGGTAGGTGGTTGTGTCTTTGAGTTTGCAGGTTACAACTTTAAAAATGGTATCTGAGGCACTGATGGCTTGGAGGAAGATGAAGCAGGCATGTGTGTGCGTGTGCGTGCGTGCATGTGTGTGCGCATGCACGCATGCCTGTGCAGGGGCTCCACAGTGCACACCAAAGGTGAAAGCGCTTGGTTCTAATGAGCAGACAGCTGCTCAGAGTGCAGCCAGTCAACCGCCACCCCTTTGTTTATTTATTCACTTATTTGTCTACACTAGTTGGCACGCAAACCTTGCTAACGAGCCCTTCTCTAATCTACGTGCTGCCTTTTGATTTTATTTGGGTTCATGAGAAGAATGCCAACAATGGGCTCTCAAAAATTCAGTTACGGATTCAGAGCCTATAACATGAGGGATTTCTGCTGTCAGAGGTGAAGGCAAGGAAGGACCCAGCTGAGGCCGGGTTCCGGCACTGACCCACAGGGCAGGAAGGCTCAGCGGCCGGGCTGCAGCAGGCCAGAGGGACGCACACTGCAGAGCCTGTTGTTCCTCCAGGTAGCTGCTCAGCTGGGACGCTGCCTCAGCCACGGTAGTGGTCAGGAGCCAAAGCTCACAGTAGGAGCACAGAGCAAGTTCAGCCCCAGGGCAGCCAATTCCCCAGGGTGGACCCCTGTGGCCCTTACACCAGTCACATTGACCTTCCACCTGCAGAACCACGCTCTGTCTCCAGACCCATGTGCAATGTCAAGACCAGGGGCTGAGGTTCTTAGCCCTCATGGGAAAGTCTCCCTGGGATGTCACAGACACCACCCATGTGGTAAGCAGAGCCCGAGGCCCCAGTGGTCCAGAGGCTCACAGTAGGGGAATGACCACTGTCCCCACATGCGACCCAGCTCCAGCACTCAGGGAAGAACACTGGCCCTGGAGGCAGAGCAGCTCCAAGCCTGCTCTGGACCTCTCTCAGAGCCCACTGAGGGGCTGGCAAGGGGCAGCAAGGGCCAGAACAGCTGCACAGTACTGTAAAGCAGCTTTCGTGGGATTTTTAGGAGGAGATGAGCCATCTGCAAGTGACAGCAGACTCAGAAATACCAGGAGAAAAGCGCATGGGCGTGGTTCTCAATTTTTGAAGGTTCTTTTAGTGTATATCTGGCTAATTCATAGTTGTGCTATTAATAGCCAAAAGCCCAGAGAAGATAAATGACGGACACAAAAACACACAGCTAGAATTAGACAAACCTAGAAGCAAAACTCAGGGCTCCATAATCTCTTTTCTTGCGACTTGACTACCTTGCTTAGAAGAAAAAGACCAAACAAGTCCAAAAATTGTCATATGAACTTTAATTGAATGACAAAACAACAGGAAGGAAAAGTACAGTCCAGGAGCAACCCTCCCAGGTTCCTCGTGACGCAGGCTTAGGAGAAGCTCAGATGGGAGCTGGCTTTTTCTCCAGCACACACACAACAGACAGAGCTGAACACACACTGCAGGGCACTCTTGGAGGTTCCCTGAGTCCACAGTACAAATGGAAAGATAAGGTCCAGGAAGTGGAAGACCCATGCAGGAGCACTTTAGGGCTGCAAGCAGAGCCCAGTTGGACCCCACAGCCTCCCTCTCCACTACTGGGGAACTCCCAGGGCACAGTGATACTCTCCAGGTTGAAGACAAAGAAATTTCGGTCCTATCAGCAACCCATAAAATCTCACAAACTTCAGTCTACTGGTGTGGTATAACCTCCCAGGCAGGAGCTGATTTTAAGAGAATGTTATATAGTTACCTAGATAGCAGTGGACAAGGCTAGTTGGTCAGCCTGCACGTGAGAATGGATCTAGAGGTCTAATGAGGAAAGTAGGTCAAAGAACTTATTTGGCTCAAATCAAAGGGTTCAGAGGAAACAGGTTGCCTATGTATATGGCACCCCTTGACAGACTGTGGAGAGAAACTAGATAAGCTTTGCAATACTCTATTGCAGGCTTAGAAGTTGACTGTGTGTGTGTGCGTGTGTGTGTGTGTGCGCACATGTATGCATGTGCTCATACATGGGCACAAGTGCCTCTGGAAGGTCTGCAAAGATGTGTTCCAAAAGGTTGGCTGATGCGAGCTCATGATGAGCCAACGGCCTGAAGATGGCGAGTTGGAGGACCAGAACATTCTCCTGGTTTCTAGACCTTCAAAGGACTCAGGTGGAGTTGAGTGATGTGACTCTCAGCCATATTTGGAAAGGGATGTTTTGCCCTAAGACAAATACACTCACTTAGTATCTATGTAATGAAAGACTAACATTTAAATGAGAAAGCAAGTAGCATTTTAATGAATGACTGTACTTGAGCACCTACTACTCACAGGCACCCCACAGGGTGAAAAGTACAGCCCAATCCCCCACCTTACACTCTGATTGCGGGGCGACGGCACAAGGAGGGGAGCTAATGTGTGCCACTCAAAGAGGAAAATGGAGCAGAGGAGGAAAACCCAGGACATGCCCTCCGTCCTCCACCAGAGCCCCAGCGGCCAGACCAGAGCTGCCGCTGTGAAACGCAGGGACCTTGGCAACTGTCTGCCAAGGCCCAAATCCTTTGTCAGTTTAAAGGCAGGTCTGCTGCCTTTGACGTCAAAGGAATGTTTTAGTATAAAGGTCAGCCTGCAGTGCCTGGACATCAGACTGCACCACCAGGGAGGTGGTTTGGCTGCTTTTATCAGTGCATATGCTTTACTCTGCTAGGCTATAAATGGCCTCCGCCACAATTGCTGTTTTGATTTGGCTTTCTAAAAATAACTCACTCACGGGAAGCTTTGCATTGTGAGGGGAAGATGGTTGTGCACAGCTCCAGGGAGGAAAAATTATAAAGAAAGCATTTGATTAGAATTACCTAAGAGCTGAAATTGAGTGCAAATATCTCCTTGTAGTAACTGATATATAATTAGCCACCCTAATGGAACCCTTTCAAAACCGAGACAGCTCAACAATAAGTTTAATTGAAAATAAAATTTCCAGACCAACTATTTTGTCAAAACCACATTAAATGAAGATAGCTCAGCAGTGACCAAACCAGTGGTGAGAGGTGCTCCGTGCACTAGGAGCCGGCTGGGAAGGAGGGAGTGCGCATTCCTCCCTCGGGCCGTGGCAATTTTCTAAGCTCTGCTTTCCAGTTGCTGCGTCTTCTAAGCACTTTGGAAAAAGCATTCAATTCTCTCTAAGCCAATATGACTGCTGCCTTTGCCTCCCGAGCAAGGTCTCCTGAGAAGGAAAAGGCATGATTAGACTCTCAGGAAAGGAGGGAAAGAGAAGAGGAAAATGCCACTCGTTGGTCACACGACCTGGCTGCTGGGAGGAAGCGCACACCTACCGCGGGCTCCTGGGGAGCGGCAGTGCCCTGGAGCTTCCTTAGCCCATCAACTTCCACCTTGGCTACTTCTCAGCTGTGTGACTTCTGCCGAGTTGCTTAATGTTTCTGCACAATGGCTTTCTCATCTAAAAAAAAAAGAGAAAAAAGAGGCTTGTGACCGCCACATCCTCCAGGAGGCTGGGCAGAGGCCACGGTCCACCTGGCGCTAGCGTGCAGAGCCTGAGGAGCATCAAGCTCTTCCTTGGTCTCCAAAGGAGTGAATGCGTGGAACGGAACAAAGGTGGACACGGAGCTCACTTCCTAGGTGCTCTGCGGCCCGGTCCAGGTCGGCTTTCAGGCTGTGGGTCCGACCAGGTGACCAGCTGCCTGGCATGAGGGTGTCCCAGGGGCCCCATGCCTAGCATGCAGCCCTCTCCAAGGTGAGAGGACAGGCAGACCAGACACAGGAGGCCTGAGTGCTGCTTGGAAGGGGGAGCCTGAGGGCTGGAAAACTGAGGAAGGTGGGCGGCGAGAGAGGGACAGAGAAAGGAGGAAAGGAGGGAAAAGAAAGGAAAGGGAGGGAGGAGTGACCAAGAACATTGGGATTTTAAACACTAAAAGTTAGTTGAGTCCCTAGTTATCGAGATTGGGTTTACAAGGCTTCTGGGGGAAACCTAGGCCTTGAAGCCAACGTCCTCTATTGCTGAGGGCCACGTACGTGGCTTGGCTTGCCACCTCCCGCCTGAGTGGCTGCCGGTGTGTGCACAGCCTGAGCCTGCGCTGAACATGCTCAGGTAGGGAAATGGTGTACAGCAACGACCGCGGCACAGACTTGTTCTCCGAGTTCTAGGAGCTCAGAGGACCGCAGCACTCCCCAGGTAACCCGGAAGAGGAAGGACTCAATCCTCATGACTATCAGGTATCATTTAATACTTAATTTCTTTGGTTTGCTGGAAACACAGGCCTCCTCAGTGCTGGCGAGAAGGGGAAGTAGCTGCTGGGGAAGTCTGACCCTGGCGCGCCCCCTGTCCCCATCCTCAGCTGGCGCTCCTGGCTGGAGCACAGCTCAGGGCCAGTGTTGTGGGTGCTCCCTCTCAATCTGTCCACTGCTCTCTGTCCTGGGGACTCTGTGGGAGACTAAGCCAGGGCAGCTGCAGAGGGAATGGGTCCAACATCGGCCTGGCCACCTCAAAGATGAGTGGACAGAAGTACTCCCCAGGGCAACGGACCCACAAGCACAGGCTGGCTTAGTGCTTCTGGACCTCGCTGCAAATGGCTAATTCAGCTAACGTGGAGGGACAGCCAGGTAGCCAGAGCACAGCCACACTCTCCAAAAGCAGAGACAGGGTGCAGAAAACATTGTTGGCCACTGCTGTCCTCATTATAGTACTCACAGTTCTGCTCAGATCAATGCAGACAGAGATGTGCTGAAAGGCAGGGGAAGGCATCGACCAAGCTGGAACAGCCATGGTGATGCTGGGGTCTCCGCCAGGTCCTAGCTGGAAGGAGCCCTGGCCCAGCCTGGCCAATGATACATACAAGCCTACTTGGGATTTCTGGGGAAATTCTCCTTTCAGATGGAAGGGAGAGATGATATGCTCATCCATATGCTGGGATGGAGGTGGAAATTCTAAAATCACACGATGGCCTGGTTGTGTGACGAAACACAACCTTTCTGATAGATCTGATGACACAGGGGCTGGCGAGGACTTAGAACAACAGAACCCCTGCATACCCCTGCTGGTGGAGGTGTGCGCTGTTGCACTCTGTACGGAAAACAATCTGGTGAGACTTATGAAAGTGGGAGCGAGTGTACATCAGAACACATCCGTCAGTGCTTGGTGCATAATGGACTCTCCCACAGTCCATGCAGCACTAGGCGAGAGGCCCTTGGGCACAGGCACACCCGGTGAGCCCAGAGAGGACGGCGGACCGCTGTGCCTTTAACAGGCTTTGGGCATGTCTTCCAAAGGTCTGTGTGTTAAAAGCTCAATCCCTGGTGTGATGCTGTGAAGAACTGGACGCCAGGGGAGGTCACCAGGTTGCTGTCCTTCAAAAAGGAGGCCAGGGGAGGTCACCAGGTTGCTGTCCTTCAGAAAGGAGGCCAGGGGAGGTCACCAGGTTGCTGTCCTTCAGAAAGCAAGATGGCCTTTCCTGAGACCCTCAGGTAGTACTCCAAGGGGCCGCCATGAAAAGAGCTGACCCGGCCCCACCCGCATATCTCCCCAGTTTCACGTCTTGCTGTGTGGTCTCTCCTCAACACATATTCTTCCTCCACGATGGACGCCACCAGCCAGGGGCCTTCCAGGGAGCCGAGGGACACCACAGCCATGCCCTTGAAGCTTCAGAACTACGCTGGGTGCGCGTGCATGGCACAGAGCATGTGCACTGGGGTAAAAGCTCACAGAGGGTTGAGGAGAAGGCAAATGGACAAAGTAGAAAAGGAAGCGAGAGACCAACAGTAACAAGCCTTGCACACAGGAAGTTGTCATAAAATGTAATAGAAAAAAAAAAAAAAAAGCCAGATTCAGAGTCGGAAAGCCCAGGCGCGAATGCTGCTGTGAATGCTGGTGCCCTTCGGCAAGCACCCATGGTATTTTATGATGCGAGTCTCAGGACAGCACTATGAAGAGCTGCCCCATGCCTCTGGGGAGGATGGGAGCAGAGCCTTCTTGGACGGCACTGCTGCGAGCCCTGAGGACTCAGGGTGCTTGTCTGCAAAATGGGGATTTCGGCAGGTGTGACAGTGCAGGACAGAGAGCACCACAGTGTGCTGGATTCCCACTGAGGAAAAGCACACACCCTTCACTGGGGCATCCTTGTACCACTGAGCCCTGCTGGGGTGCAGTGGGACCCACCTGACCTTCACTCTTGAGCATGCTCCTGGGGCACTGCCTGATGTGCAGTGAGGGTCCCACTGCCCCCTTGTGACACCAGTCTCAGGGGCGTATGATGTCCTCTGCATCCACACACATGACAAGGAAAACGAGGCCCTTGCCACCTTCCTCTTATCCCAAGTAGGTACAACCTTCATGCTCCAATGAGGAGCTGGTCTCCCTACCCTGAAGACAGACACCCTAGGGCAGACACATGTCTTCCGTGTTGTCCCATCATGGACTGTCACTGCTCTCCTTAAGGTGCTCCCCTTTTCATGAGGACATTTTGGCTGTCGGTGAGATGGAAGAGCAGACGTACCACGTGCTCCTGAGGCTCCATTCTCCCCTATGTGCTCCTGGCCCAAAGAATCACCTTGTACTGCACAGCCTTCCTTTTTCCTGGAATGGGTCTTCTAAACAAGCTCCAAACAGTGATATAAGGCCACGAGGGCCTTCCATACCTCCTAACAACCTACTCGAAAAGAGCTATGTATGCTGCCACTAGCAAAGGAGACTATGGCAAGCTCTCTACGACTTTGCAGAGTAATCTCCACCACCAGTATTCTAAATAGGTGGGAGGCTGCTAGGAGTGAAGCACCCCAGGTGCCCTATTTTGGTGAGCATTACTGTGATTCCCAGGAACCTCAA